GCTTTTTTCCAAAAAAAATTTCTAACCCTAATTAAAACTTTACAACCAATGATCCCTACTAAATATTCATACAATAGTAATAGAAGGTTTTTGGTCATCGGATGAGTGATGTCAAAACCAATAGTAGTTTTACTAGCATTAAGATGCAAGCCATCTTGGATCAACCTAAGAGTTCTAAATAAACCTCTACAATAGTGAATGCCACTGCCAATATCACTTCCAAAATTTTCCTGTCTATTCTGAAGGCAGGTCCAAATAATACCATCCATAAATGAAATACATGAAAGCAAAAAAAACTGATCCATATAAAAATCTAAAACAATGAACTTTTCTATTGATCAAAAAGAGAGTTCTTCGTTGTGGTTAGATCTGTGGTTGGTAAGCTTCGATCTGGAGCTCCTGTGAGGCGGTGAGGGTAGGGCTCAAGCGAAGTCGGCGTTTAGGGTTTGGTTTCAGCGGTTCTCGATTTTACTTTGCAGATCCATTGAAACCTTCGGTTTGGAAGCGTTTGGTGGTGCTGTTGACTCTCTCTCTGTGGTCGTCGTGTTTGTGGTTTCAAAGAGAGTTCTTCGTTGTGGGGAGGAGTACAGAGCTTCTCTCTCATTTCGGCTTGTGGTCTTGCCGATTGGTCAGAGGGACTCCCTCTTGCTCGGGGAAGGTGGTTGTAGTCGTCGCCGGCGCGTGCATAGAGGTGTGGTGACTGTGTGGTGGCTTCACGTCTGTGGTTTTGGCGCGTGTAGCTGTGGTTTGTAGTCCGGAGCCTGTCGTCTATGGCTGTGCTCTCCTTATTCTTGTGGCTGCTCTTCCCTTCTTAACTGCCCCCATTTCATCGATCGTAATTTGCTTTGACCTTGCGGTTGAAGTTTTTTCAGGCCTGATTCTGGTTTCCTTCGTCCCCTTCGCGGGTTTCTTGAAGCGTAGAGAAGACTAGTACAAGTTCTTTGTACTGGAGATTGGTTTCGCCGGTTTGATTCTGGTTGGGTCAGCTAGGTCTTGCAGGTGTTGGGGTTGCCGTCTTAAGCCTCCGTCATCCCAGTGCGAGGTCGTTTGAGGTTCCTTGGACTCCTCGTGGACGGGTCTTTTCTTCTTTGCAGGTTATGAAGATTGCGGTTGGTGTTGCTTCCTTATCAGCCCGTTGTTTTAGCTTAGTGGTTCGGTGGCGGCAGTAGCGAGTGCTTACTCGTTTAGAGTGGCGTTTCAAGCGCTGTGTGGCGTTAACTACATATTCGGCTTTGGTGGTTTACAAGGTCTTGTGGTAAGTATTTGGAACTCCCTTCTATTGCTCGTCTTGCACTTCATGGACAGCGATGGTTATAAGCTTTGTGGAGTTCACCGGAGGCTAGCTACTCCAGAGATGACACATGAATTCCCGGCATCTGAGGCAAAAAGGAGAACCTCACCCTTATGTGATCTATTGTCAATGGTGAGAACAGCAACTGGTTTCCAAAAGATTTCAAAAAACGAGCTAGCGGAATGTGCCGGGTTTAGTGGGCGGGCAAAGCTAGTTTGTAATAGTTTGAAGTTGGATATTTTGTTCAAAGCGGGTTTGTAACCGGATCTGATATACTCGTTCTCGCGAGTCGGATAAATATATAAATATTATAAAAAAAAAATCAAAAAGAGAATCTAAACATACTTCTGAGATGCTAGATGCTTGCGTAACATACGAAGCACAAGTATAGTCTCATATGGCATACACTTCTTCTAGACATGCCGCTTTGTTTTCTTTTTTATTAAAAAAAAAGTTGAAGGACTTTTTTTTATTTCATGGTATAACCATTTTTCTTTAGGGTGATCTGTTTATTTACATTTTTGCTTAATTAAAATTCAATAAGTAATTTAATTGGTATCATCCTCAGTTCATTTTATATATATTAGAAAATAAGAAAAATATGGAAAGAAAAAAAGTCAAAATTGTTATATGATGATTTAGTATTTCTTTATTCATTCCCGTCCAAACTTCTTTACCACTAATAAGAGCAAATATACGTTTATTCACTCTTCCACGGGAAAATACAATATTTTACCATATAAACGTGTACATAACCCAATCAAAAATACAAGTCCACTATGATCTAATCACAAAATGTAATTTGCTCAAAAGCCCAGTACTCAATACATACACTATTTATACTAAAGAATAGTTGATTATTTGCAAGTAACAAACTCTCTGCCACATAATCTCATCTTATATCAACTTCGAACAACCTTTCTTGCCAAATCTCCAGCTGTTGCCTTCTTCCTTCCATAGCAACTCTGAAGTTCATCAATTCCCGTCCCCAAAATTGAGCTTGCCCTCAAGCTAAAAAGAAGGAAAGCTTTGCTAAAATTCATTTAATATCATCTATGATTTTTCATACTCCGCGAAAACCTAGCTATGAATTAATACTTCCATACAACTCTCCTCATCATAACGTGAATCCATTAGTTCCTCCTGATACAAAACCGGTTCCTCTGCTGCAGTTTAGGACTCTGGAAGAGGCATAACAGTATGTGCAGTTCCCCTAACCGGCTTAAGTTGTGACAAATGAAATATTGGAGGGACTCAACAAGACTGTGGAAACTCCAAGCGATACACCACTCACTCACACCTTCCAATACCTTGAATGGACCATAAAACTTTGAAATCAAAATTGGCAGAATCATTTAGTAGGACTTATATGACGGTAAACTCGTAGTTTAAGAAAATCAGAAAACCCACTACGAATTGTTAAGTCTCTACCACACTTGTCAGCATTTTTCTTCATCAAATCATGAGCTTGCAACAAATGCATCTTAGTATCATTGCATCCCTCTCCATAAGCATGGACTCCAACTAAAACATTTTCTTCCATATACTGTTGGGGTCAAAATCGGTACGATGGAATCAACGGCCAAAACTCCCCGCAGAAATATAAAAGAAATCGTTTTATAAAACTCAAAGGACCGTTTTATAAAACTCAAAGGACCGTTTTATAAAACTCGAGGAATCGTTTTATAAAACTCGAAGAACCGTTCTATAGAACTCGAGGAATCGTTTTATAAAACTCGAAGAATCATTTTATAAAACTTGAGAATCGTTCTATAAAACTCGAAGAATCATTTTATAAAACTTGAGAATCGTTCTATAAAACTCAAAGAATCATTTTATAAAACTCGAGAATCGTTTTATAAAACTCGAAGAATCGTTTCATAAAACTCAAGAATCGTTTTATAAAACTCGAAGGATCGTTTCATAAAACTCAAGAATCGTTTTATAAAACTTGAAGGATCATTTTATAAAACTCGAGAATCGTTTTATAAAACTCGAGAATCGTTTTATAAAACTCGAAGAATCGTTTTATAAAACTCGAAGAATCGTTTTACAAAACCGCGAAAAACTGAAACCGCCGTAAAACGCGAACTAGCCTCGTCCCGACTAGTTCGCCCAACGGTGAACTAGCCTCGTCCCGGCTAGTTCGCCGTTGGGCGAACTAGAAGCTTCCCGGACAGTTCACCGGCCGGCGAGCTGGACCGGTCCGGCTCGGTTCGCCGTACGTCGAACCGACCATCCCGAGCCTTGATCTCCCGTATCCTCGATTCAGTGCTTACGTCATTTGACACGGTCGTGTTCCGAACCATGGTCAAAATGTCTCCCGTTTCGTCTCGATCCGACCTATCATACGAGTTTTACGATAAAAACCGTAAAACTTTGTTTTCTCGGAAAGAACTCGAGGAAATTGTATAAAACGGAAACGGTTAAACGAAACATCGAAAATTACCTAAACTATACGATTTATTCAAGATTTTTCGTTAAAATCATAAAAAACGCGTTTTTAATAAAAACGTCGAGAAAATCGTAAAAAGCGGCAACGATTAACCAAAGAACGAACGTAGCTAAACTTTACGATTAACTCGGGGAATTTACTAAAAACGGCATCGGATCAGGAAACGATCTCGTATAAAGTCGTAAAACGGCCCGAACCGCTTAACTTTCACTTTACTTTAAACCCGTATGATAAGGGTGTTAAGCTTTTAGGAAAATGTTACATCGACTCGGCGCTAACAAATATACAAAGGATCCTAAAACAAAAGGAGGTTGACTTGTTTTTAGATGACCCACAGTTCCAACATTTCTTCCATATAAAAACCAAAAGCAGAAGTGGATGGAAATGTGGATTCTTGTTTTGCGTTCAGCTTCGACATCGAAGAAGAATGAGTTATGGTTTATTGTTAATGGCTTCCCAATCCGATACTCTCTCAGAGAATTCGGACTTATCTCTGGACTATACTGCCATGAGTATCCGCCGAACTATGAGAGGTTGGGTGGTACATCCTTCATAAACAAGTATTTTGATGGGAAAATGGGTACATACGCTGAGGTGGAGAAGAAGATGTTGGGAATGAAAGGAAAGTCAAGTCTGGATCGTCAGAAGATGACTGTTCTGTACTTCTTAGCCAGCATCCTCGTTGGAGGCCGAAAGACTGGAGAGGAGGAACATCACCTGTGGACAGTTTCTTCCTGGCTGTTGTTGATGACCTCGATGCGTGCTTAAAGTTCCCTTGGGGGCGGTAGGCATTTGAACACAACTTGAAGGATGTATTTAGCTTCTTGGAGAAGTGCAAAGGGGATGTTCCGACTAGTTGGGTATTTACAAGGTTTCATGTTCCTTTGGAGGTATTCTCTAGCTCTTCTTTTTCTTAGGATAGTAAACACGTTAATTTGATGGTAATTATGTTGTTTGTTGTGTGTAGTTGTTGGGCTTTCAGGCAATTCCAAGCCTGAGGAACCATTTTTGAGAAACTGTAAAAAATGCACACGATGATTGCCCGCGGATGTGCAAGATGCAGTAATGCAAAGGTGGAACGAAGGCATACAGTCTGAATGCAATGAACGGGCAACTTGGTGAAACTAAGGTAATTAATGTTATATGTGTATTCAAATTAAGGAGAGAATAAGTTTGTATTATTTGCAGCCACAGGATATTGAGACTATACTGGTAGCAAAGAAGGCTGAGAATGAAATTCTCAAAAGAATAAGGATGGACAAGGACGCTTGTTGGGCCGATGACAACAATGATGCAGCAGTCGATGGTTAGACCAAGATAATACAAGAAGGGAAGAAACAAATTTTGTTTCAAGAACAGTTCAACATCGATGTGGCTGCTCGTAACCGTCCACCTCCACCTCCACCTCCGGTTGAAGCTCTCACCATTCCTACTATTGGAGCTTCAGAATCGGTGGAGGCTCCTGGAGTTGAGGATTTAAAAGAGCTCGAAATTTGGTTTATGAATGCAATCCGAGATGGTTTGAATGAAATTAACAGAAAAGTCGATTCATTGGATAACTGGTTAACTCCTCTAGAAAAAGAAGTGAGGAGGCTTATGAAGACGGTTCCCGATAGTTCCGATTACGGTGTTCCCGATGGGAGCAATGGTGGTGTTCTTAAAATTTCTAATCAAATGCAGAATCTTCATGCTGGGGGTAAGGATGAGGAAGATGGTGATTCCAAGGATGATGGCCTCGAAGAAGAAGAAGATGGTGGTTCCAAGGATGATGACCTGGAAGAAAAAGAAGATGGTGGTTCGAAGGATGATGACTTGGAAGAAGAAGAAGAAGACGGTGGTTCTAAGGATGAGGACATGGCTGGTGAGAAGGAAAAGGAAAGTGGGGATGTGCAAACCAAGAGGAAGACTAAGAAGAGGAAAAGTATTGGATATGGACAAGAAAAAGATGTTGCACAAAAGGCAAAACGAAAATGTGAGGAGTCCCATTGTGACAAGACACAGCCAGAAGGCAAGTTGCAAGCAGAAGGAAAGTGCCAAGAAGAAGACAGCTTCCCAAAAGATGGCACGTTCTCAGGAGAAGGTAGGTGCCATCAAGAAGGGAAGTACTCAGTTGAAGAAGTCCAACAAGAGAGGTAAGGGGAAGTAGGTGTGAATTCCCATGTGCTTCTTAGATAATGTGATAATTATTTCGTGTTTGTTCAAGACTTACCCTATGTATTACTTAACATGCAATATCGTTTTACCTTCAACATCGTATTACTTTGTGAAACTAGAGTAAATCAGGTGAAACTCTTACAAAATTTCACTTTCATATTTGTGGAATTTGGTAAAACTCTTACAAAATTTCACTTTCGTATTTATGGAATTTGGTGAAACTAGAGTATAATCAGGTGAAACTTATACCAAATTTCACTTTCCTATTTATGTAATTTGGTGAAACTAGAGTAATTTAGTGAAAGTAGAGTATAATTAGGTGAAACTCTAACAAAATTTCACTTTCGTATTTGTGTAATTTGGTGAAAGTAGAGTATAATCAGGTGAAACTCTTACAAAAATTCACTTTCGTATTTGTGTATTTGGGTGAACCTAGAGTATAATCAGGTGAAACTCTTACAAAATTTCACTTTCGTATTTGTGTAATTTGGTGAAACTAGAGTAATTAAGTGAAACTAGAGTTATTCGTGAAAATCAGATATAGTCAAATCGAAAGATATAACGAGTTATATCCATTCATAAGCAAAGCAAAACCAACAACCACCGATTGTAGAAAGAACGATATTACAAAGCGCCGACACCCCTCCTTAACATTGTAACCGCTTCCTTAAGCTCATCAATCTCTGCAGCCATCTCATCGACACACTTCCTTAACATTGTAACCTCTTCCTGGACACCGAAGACCCATGGTTGACGTAAATGGAAGCCATCATTATACACATAAAACCAGAAAATTATCAAAATCTGCACCTAAAACCCGGAACTATCAATTACTTACTCAAAATTTATGCAGGTGAAGTATTTTCTCCCTGGTAAAGTATCAAAATCGGTTCGATACTTTGGTTCCCAAGAAACTTTGTTGATGATTCCCCCCCCACTGCAAGGGCAGCAGGTCGTGTTCCGCACTCAGCATCCGACATGAACACAAGCATGTCGTGATGTCTCTTCAAGGCTTTTTGTGCTCCTCGTTTGGATGAGTCATGGGTCTGAGTGGGGTTGAGAGTTGCCGAATTGAATAAAGAGAGAGAAAGTTTTAGAGAGAGAGAGATCTGGTTGAAATAAATGGGACAAAGTGAATATATGGTTTAAATACATGTCTTCTGATTCGAAATTGATTTTGAGGAGCTGGAAAATTTGGGGAAAATGGGTGGGAAAATTTGAAAATCTGAGCGGGATAAATTTCCGTGGTTTAAGTTTCACATGGTTTGTAGTTATACAAAAAGCTTCAAAGTTTTACTTTCCTTGGTTTTGCAATTTTTTTTTAGTTTGACTGTGCTTAGATGATAAATTTTATGGTTATACCAGTTTGTTTCTGTATTGTATCTGAATTTCTCATGGAATCAAGTAGATATGATCTTGATAATGTTACATATAAAGTTTTCTAATCCCATAAGGTAAAGTTTGAGAAAAAATATAGCATAGTAATGTATTTCCTTCCAACTGAATACAAATCAGGAATTAATTTTTTACATATAATTTTAGTTTTATCTAGAACTAAAAAATTTCCATCCAACTGAATAAGCAACGTGATCCAAAGTTTTATTTAAATTATCAGTAACTCTAAACGATCAAAAATATAACGAAGGTATCACCAAGTTTTACAATTATATAACGAAGGTATCACCAAGTTTTACAATTATATAACGATGGTATCACCAAGTTTTACAATTACATAACACATGTATCACCAAGTTTTACAATTATATAATGCAGGTATCACCAAGTTTTACAATTATATAACGCATGTTCCACCTACTTATTTATGGTTTTCCTGTGTTCAATGAGTCCCTTGAGTTCCTTGAGTTCCTTAAATTCCTTGAGTTCCTTGGGATCCTTGAGTTCTTTGAGTTCCTTAAATTCCTTGTGATCCCTGAGTTCCTTGGGATCCTTGAGTCCCTTCAGTTCCCGTCGAGCAGTTGAACCAGCGACCCAAATTCCTGTTAGGTACATACTTATTAGCACGGGGCCCACGTTAACCAACCGAAGGAAACCTTTTTTCCTGAGTTCTTCCTTTTTTTTTTTTTACTCTGGCGGTAACAGACACTGTTCTGCGATTTCTTTTGGAACCATCCATTCAGACATATGATGCACTGGATATACAGTCCTTCGATAGCTATTGGTCTATCATGCTTCAGACATGCCAAAGCCCAGACTTTAATCAAGTATTAAGGTGAGGTTATATCATACATGTCACTGATAGCTATTGGTCTATCATGCTTCAAACAAGCTATGGCAGCGCCTATTGCATGGACACATCGGTATATATCTACATCCAACTTCCTGTAGCTGCAATTTTTAAGATCCAAATTAACTATATAAGTCTTCCCGTCCATTCCAATAACACTGTATTCAAGCTGAAAAGTGTTCAACGGAGTCACCTCTAGTTTTTCACCTTTCGGTACTCTTTTATGCATTTTGTACTCCACATAAAGAACCAATTTTCGATCTGACGGTCCGGCTGCTGCATCCTTCCGATGTCTGTTGAACCACTCCGCATTTTCTCAACAACTATATCAAGCATAGGCAGTAAAGACATCTTTCGTGTTTCTTCAAAAAACTTATTCAAAGACTCCGCACAATTAGAAGTGTCTATGTTGTACCTTGCATCGGGGAAATGACAGTTCGCCCACTTTTTAACATCGACACTTTTATCAAGATACTTAGCACATGATGGATACCTCGCCTTAAACTCTTGATACTCCTTTTCAAACTCAGCCTCTAAATAAATTTGTGCAATTCTCCTTAAATGTGCTGCAACATCGTCCCTTCCCTGTTTGACATGAAGTTTCTCATTCTGTGACAGATGCCAGATACAATACCCATGTTAAGCCATCAGATACACTTCAGCAACGGCATTTATCAGACTTGGATTTTTGTCTGAAGCAAACACCAATTCAGTCGAATCCGGTATAACAGTTTTCAATGTTATGAAAAACTAGTTCCAACTTTTATTTTTCTCCCCATCAACGACACTAAAAGATTAAGGATGTTGGTGTCAAAAACCGTAATCTTGAAATCAACGTCTACGATTATTTCTTTTAAGATCAAAATCGTTACTTTCTGAAAAAATAAAAATACGTTTTATAAAACACGAGAAGTCATTTTAGAAAACCCTAAAGACTTTCCGAAACAAAGGAAATCCGCGGAAAACTTGGAAATTGTTATTTCGGAAAAACAAACGAAACAAACGCCGATTACACGATTGTCCGAGTTAAGCGCAAAATCGCATCTGCTGTAAAACGGCGAGCAGGTTCAACCAAACCAAGTTCAAAGTACGACGAGCCGAACCAACCGGTTCAGCTTTCCATATGGCGAACTGGTCGGTCCCGGACCAGCTCGCCGTACGGCGAGCTAGGTGGCAACGGACTAGCTCGCTGTTTGGCGAGCTGAACCGTTTCCGGTTCAGTTCACCGTACGTCGAGCTGACCATCCCGAGCCTCGATATCCCACGTCCTCGACTCAAGACATACGTCTTGTGGCTTGATCGTGTTCAGAACCATGGTTGAAACATCTCCGAATTTATCTCGATCCGTCCTATCGTCCAAGTTTTACGATAAAAACCAGCAACGGTTAAACGAAACACCGAACATTGCCTAACTATACGATTTACTCGAGATTTTTCGTGCGAAATCGTAAAAAAGCGTTTTTAATAAAACCTCGAGTAAATCGTAGAAAACGGCATCGATCAACCGAAACATAGAACATTTCAAAACTTAACAATTAACTCGAGAAACTTATTTAAAAACGGCACCGCATCAGGAAAGGATCTCGTATAAAGTTGTAAAAACGGTTTTGTCGCAAAACGGCTCGGAAAGTCCTAAAACACGTTAAAAGCCTACTCGCAACTTTAATGAAGTCTAGCCCAAAGATACGACGATGATTTGACGATTTACTTGCAGAAAGAAGATAAATGTAAAACATGAAGATAAATGTCAAGTTTGAGGACAAATAGAAGATTTCCGTGGAAAAAAAGGAAAGATAAAGATAAATGGAAGATTCTCGATACACTCGAATCTGGGCGAAATGGAAGGACTAAACCGCCTAGGAAGGGATTATATAAGCAAGAGGCAGAGGACATAAGCAGGGGACGAATCCTAGACCTAGAGAGGCGGCTGTTAGTTTAGGCGAATTTAGGACTTAGGTGTTTAGACTAGCAAGTCGGATCCTTAGAACGTTTTGACGTCTAAGTTCCGCGATTCTCTTGTAACAGCAGTCAGTCTCTTATTCAATAAAGCTCTTACGCAAGTGCTTTACTAATAATTCATTCGTCGTTATTGTCGTTCGTTCATATTCTGTTAACTTTGTTCGTTTTAGTGATTTCCGCAGAGATCCAGGACCTCGGGAGAATTAGGGTTTTCCCTAAGTTTCCATATTTGACTGAAAATTGACAGTGTGAATCTCGGTTCCCACAGTTTGGCGCTAGAAGGAGGGGGGGGGCATTGGATTCTCTTACACAATAATCGTGAAACGAACTGATATGCCTAACTGAAACGGCGACGTCATCTCGTTCAAGGAAAGAGCAACGATCGATTCAATCAAACCTCTCACAATCTTCTTGTTATCGAGCTGACGATCCCGAATATGGATGTCGCAAGGATATTAGTCGATACCGTAAGCTCGGCTGATATCATCTTCAAAAACACTCTCGAGAGAATGGAAATCGATCTGTCTGACATCGCGGAAAACACAAGCCCGCTAGTAGGACTCTCGGGAGAAATCACTATGACTCTCGGCATAATCAACCTTACGGTTCACGCCGGAAGCGTAGTAAAAATCGTCGAATTCCAAGTTGTCGATCGACCCATGTCCTACAACGCAATCGTAGGGACACCATGGTTAAACTTGATGCAAGCGGTACCATCGTCGTATCATATGTGTCTTAAGTTTCCGACTCCGTGCGGAATCGAGACTATATGAGGAAA